CTCGAAGACCCATCCCTCCACTGCGGGCCTCAAGGAGGCTCCAAGGCACCCCGGAAGTGGTCCGATGCTTTTGCTTATACATGAACTTCTCTGTTTCACACACTCTTATATGGTACCTACTACGTACCAGGCAGTGTTCTAAACACTTTGCAAATACAGTAGGTCCTCGGGTTACGTCGGAGATCCGTTCCTACGGAACCCACCTACATAAGCACCTACCTCACTCACATGGAGCACAGACACAGCAGTAATGAATGAAACAGTAAAAAAAAAATTTAAAAGATAACGATTCCTGACCTTTACTTGTGGTAAATAAATAATAAAAACCATAAAGCACATATGTACATACGTCGAAATGTTGGAACTTTTTTTTATAAATAAATGGGAGATGTCTGTATTGCGCATTTAATCCCTGTAACAATTAACAGGTAGTTGCTATCATTAAGCTGTGAGGAGACATGCACAGAAGTTGAGAACGTCTCCCATCACGGCACGCACTAGGACCTGCACCCCAGCAGGTTTCAGAGCCGCTCTCCGACCTCTACCATAACCTCCAAGTGCGTCAACAGGCCGAGAAAAGCAGTGACACGCCTTGGAATTAACTGTCAACAGACTCCCAGCTCCTGGTGCTGGACCGGGGCTGGGTGGGAAGCTGGCTTCCCAGCTGCACCATGTGGGCTAAGTTACTAACACGTTGGCGTTCAGTTTCTGTACTTTGTAAAACACTACGTACCTCAGGGGTAGTTCCACTAAACCATTCTTTTATAAAAAAAATTTATGTCGAAGCTGAGCACTGGCACAAAGAGAGCAGCTAACACATGTCCACGGGCAGGGTGCGCGTCAGGGCCGGAGCTCACCTGGGAGATGCTGATGCCCGTGAGTCTCTCCACGCTCTCCGGCAGGCGGCTCAGGATGTCCAGTACTTCCCCCGTCACTTTGGCCGCTCCCACGGCCCCACTTCCACTCGACACCAGGGTGATCTTTTTGGTCGAGGTCAAGGGACCACTGATCTCCTCTGCCACCTGCGGGCGAGACGTCCACTCAGCGCTGTGGCCCGACCACACCCACTAAAAGGCTTTTCCCTGGGGTTTTGTGAAGCCTCATCTGAGGACATTTTTCCACTGATTTTTAGAGTGAAAGGGAGGGGGAGAGAGAAACATCTCGATCGATGGCCTCCCACATGTGTCCTGATAACCAGGGGTCAAACCTGCAACCCAGTTATCTGCTCTTGACTGGGAATTGAACCCACGACCCTTGGGTGCATGCTCTTGCCACTGAGCCACACTGGCCAGGGCTACCCTGGGCTTTTTAAGATCCCTTCTTACAGATCATCCTTTTCCACTTTGGTCATTGGCTTATAACTCCCCTCCCTAACGCATGGTCCCCTGGCCTGGCTCTGGTGACACCTGGCACATGCCTGACCTGGGGCAGCTTCTCCAGCAGCATGTCCAGTTGAGCAGCCTCCTGGTACAGCTGGAACGCTTCTGCCTTCTTGGCCATCTGTTCGGCCTCAGCCCGGGCCCGGGCCCCAATGGCGAAGGCCTCGGCCTCCCCCCGCATCTGGGGAGGGCACAGGACACTGTGATGTGAAGGGAGCAGGTGAGGGTGAGAAACCCCAGCTCCGCCGCAACACCTCCAAACTCACCCTCACAGACTCTGCTTCGGCCTCCGCCTGCATGATCTGCTGGGACCTGGGCAAACAGGGGTGCAGAGGAGCTGAGGCCCTGGCTGCAGGGGGAAGGCTCCTCCCACCTGAGCTCCACAGGAGGAGTCCAGGTGGGGAAGACCTCGGCTCTATCTGGGGGCGCCGGGTGGGAAGGAGCAGGAGGGGCGGGAGGGCGTTTACTTCTCAGCTCCTTCTCCCGGCGGGCAATCTCCTGCTCCTGCACTGCCACCTGCTGGGCCCGCTCCACCACCTGCACCTGCACCCGCTGCTCCTCGATCTGCTGCTTGGTTTTGGCCACCTGGGAGGGGTGCTTGGAGTCAGGGCGAAAGGCAAGTGCCCAGCACCACGGAGGCCAGGGCAGGGCTCCGGTGGGGTAGGTGGAGTGGTCCCAGCACAGTTCCGCCGGCCCCGTGGAGTCCGTTTCTTATAGAGACCCACGCATGCACGGCCCGATCCTCCTCAGCCCGCACCCAGGACCAGGACTCCCAGGCAGCCTGTCCGAGCTGGACAGGGCGGGGACCGGTGGCCTCCGCAGGCAGGCCAGCCGGCTGCAGTTCCTCCAGGAGCTCCCACGGACTCGTTTCCCACCATCTCTCCCTCTAGTGTGAGCACCTGGCGGCGTGAGGGCAACCCCGTCTGGCTCTCTCCAACCCTCTCCCCCTCTCTCCACCTTAGTGCAAGCCACCCACTGCGCCCACTCCTGCCACAGGTCCTGCTTCCCCTCCAGGGGCTGTGTATGGGTGCCTTTTCACTTTTATTTTTGCATCTGGTACAAAATCAAGAGAGAAAAACACACGGTGAGAAGTCAGGCTTCCGATATTTCTGCAAACGACCTGGTTCCCTCCCGAAAACCACCAGTGCCCAGCGTCCTGTGTACCGTTCCAGGGGCACTCGCAAGCACGTGCAGGAACCTGCAGACAGATGCCTCTGATTTAGGCGGGTTTCAGCTCTTCCTCCTGGCATCCAGGGAGCAGAGCGCCCTTGCTGGATGTCAGTGAGGACGTGCAGGGAAGAAGCGCACGTCCTTCCCGTCTCGCTGCTCCAGCCCCGCCATCACCATCATGGCTGGGGTGTCCCTGCCTGGACTGGCCCCACCTGAAAATGTCAAGCCTTTTCCCAACTGGACTTGCTGCTCCCGGGCAGCATAAGGCCACCTTCTGGAGGACTCCACCTCCAGCCGCTTCCTTGGACCGAGTCTGTGGGCGGTAGGTGTTCTAGGCCCGCCTTCTCAGACTAACTGCCCTTCTATTTGAATTAGTGAGGCTGAGTACAGTTACTATGTTGAAATCATTCTCATCCGAATTTTGAAGGCATTGCTCCATGGCCTTCTAACTTCTGAAGAAATCTAGTCATTTTGATGCCTGGCCCTCTGAGAAAAGGTCTCTGGAAGCTTCTGGATCTTTTCTTGTCCTCATGGATCTGAAATTTCAGTGATGTGTTTCAATATGGATGTTTCTCATTGTGTTGGGCACTTGGTGGGTTGTTTCCATTTAGAAACTCACACCCTTCAAAACAGATAAACATTTTGCAAATTTTTCACTTGGTTATTTCCTGCCCCTTTCTCTGTCTGTTGGAGCTGCTGGCCTGGCCGCTCCTCCACCCATCTGTTCTTTCTATTTTTCTGGGGAGTTTTATTAGAATTTCTCTTCCAAAGTGATTTGGAAATTTATGCCATTTTATCACTTCCCCCCTTTATTGAACTTATTGGGGTTTATTAATTTCTAAGAGCTGTTTCTTGTTTTCTGTTCAATCTCCTGACTTCCTAGATGTGGATCCTTCTTTTATTCCACTGAGCACATTTATTTTTTCAAAAGCTTCCTTTTCCCTGCAGAGCCGTCGCCTCCACTTGGCCTGGCCGTCTCCCCTCAGACAGGTGCCCTTGGCTGTCTGCTCGCGGGCCAGAGGCTGACCGCACTGGAAGGAGCTCCGGCTGTGTGGGACCTGTGTTCTGAGAGCTTCGCTCTGGGCGCCCGGGCAGGCCACCAGCTGGGAAACCTCGGCTCCAGGGTCTTCAGGTCTCTCCCTTGGGGCGGTCATGTTCCCAGGGCGCTCTTCTCATCGGTTCTTGGAAGACGGAGCTCTGGGAGCCGGTGGCCCGGGGCGAGAAGCGACAGCATGGGGCATGCGACAGGTGCATGGTCCGTTCATGCCCTGCTGCCCAGTCCTCGCCTGTGTCCGGCTGCCCCACGCCACATCCTCTGGTCTACTCTCACCAGACAACCCTCCAGACGTCTGCTGGGCAGAGAGACCAGGGAAGGGACCCACAGGCAGGGAGTCAGCAAGGGAGTCGGAGAAGTGGCTCTTCACCTGTTTGTACTGATTTTGACAGTCTTCAGGCCACGGCTGCACCAGCTCCTGAGCCTCAGACACGCGCCTGTCAGCCCTGCTCAGTTAACGACCATGCTTTCCAGCTTCTAAAGTGATGCTACGGTGGCCATTCCTCCCTTTCTTCTCTCTCAAAATCACTCTACGTGGTTGTAATGAGGTTTTAGCGGCATTGATTCAATCCATCATCTTTGAAAAAGCTTCCAACTTGTCTCCCTACTGCCTTTCTTCTGACAATCGATTCTCCACGCAGCGGCCAGTCTGATCCTTACACAAACATAAACTGAACCACAGCACCTCTCTGGTGCTTTGAGTCGCTTCTAAGTGTCCATCATGGCTCCCTGGGCCCTCCGGGACCTAGCCTGGCCTCCTCTCCCTCAGCACACTAGCCACACCATCAGAAACGCCCTTTCTGCTCCTGGGACATGCCAAGTCCTTTCCTACCTCAGGGCCTTTCCACCTGCTGGTCCCCTGCCTGGCCACTAGCCACACACGGCTATTTAAATTTAAATTAATAGTCACTAAAACTTAAAATGCAGTTCCTCAGTCACCATTTCACCCACCGCATTTCAAGTGCGCAGCATCACAGCAAAATGCAGACCATTTCCATCAGCACAAAGGCTCTGTGTGAGCATCACTGGTTTAGAATACTCTGGGCCCACAACTCTCTACATTGCTGGTTCTTTCGCATCTTCAGGTTTTATTTCGAATATCATTTGCTTACAGCATTCTTCTCTGAGCACCTGACCTCAGATAGTAACCCCACTGCTGTCCGAGCCTGGCGCCTTGAAGCCCCGCGCCAGCGCTGGCATGCTCTGTATGCTGAGAGCAGGAATCTCTTCTGTCTCACTCACACTTTTATCTTCGCCTCTAAAACAATGTCTGGCACATAGTAGGCACTTCATAGGTATTTGTTGACTGAATCATTATTTCAAGATTACTTAGCACAAAGCCTGGCACAAAATGAGGAACTCACTAAAGTTAAACAGAAACCAAACCAGCCCAAGCCATCGATCTGCGGACAAAAAGCCATGTTTAGATTAGGGACCTTATCCATAGTCCTACCCATGCTAGTGGTTTCCTTTACGTTACTGCTTCTCACACTTCAACGCATGCATGAGTCAACATAGGGATTTCTGTTAAAATGCAGACTCTGACTCGGTCTGGGCTGGAGCTGGAGACTTTGTAGTTTTAACAAACACTCCAGGGCTGCTGCTGCTGCTGGTAGGCAGACCACACTTCAAGTAGCAACGCACAAGCCAGGGACTTATCCCCGCAACCAAAGATGTTTTGCACTTATTATGCTTTTAGCCTGGACCAACGCGTGGCAAAAACGAACTTCCTAATTTTACTATCCTTTGCGTAAAGGCTACTCAAAGTTCAGTGGACTCTCGTTCTTCACGGTAGTTCTGCTGTATAAAGTAGAATAAAATACTTATTTTGTTCCCAGGGAAAATGTGGGGTTAGGTGGCATAAGCCTCTGGCCACAACATTTTTACCAACAGGCCAATGTAGAACCTTGTTTTATGTGTTTGTTTAAAGCAGGGGCAGGAACATCCTGGCCCTGCCAGGACATTGGGGTGAGTTATTTAATGATTGACCATTGCCCTGGCCGGAGTTTCCCAGTGGTTAGAGCACTGGTCTGCGAACCAAAGGGTCGTGGGTTCGATTCCTGACCAAGGGCATGTACCTGTGTTGCAGGTTCCCGGCCCCAGCCCTGGTGGGGGTGAGTGTGGGAGGGACCAATTGATGTGGCTCTCTCACATCGATGTTTCTCTCTCTCTCCCCACCTCCCTTGTACTTGCTCTAAAAAAAAAAAAAATATATATATATATATATATCTCAATGGGAAAGTATCCTGGGGTATTAACCAAAAAAATAAACGTTTGGCCAAATACAGCAGGCTAGTTTTTAGGTTGATAATTTTGTATGGCCCATGAATGATGTATGAATATCCGAATGGCCCTTGGCAGAGAAAAGGCTCCCACCCTGGTTTAAATCCATCTTATGTAATAAATGTTGGTTCATTACCAACGAACTTCCAGCCAACACCACGAGCGCCTGCACGAAGGAGGAGGTGCAACGTGCACGGCACCACCGCCCGCACCCGGGAAAGCCAGACAGCACTCAGCACGATGCTCGGCCATTTCCGCGGTGAAATCACCAAGAGAACACCAGGCGAGGAACACGGCAGTGAACGTGCTGCGAAGTGAACACTCTACGGAGACAACACTGCTTATAGCATAAGCGTTTCAAGAAGCAGGTCATCTTGCTCAACCTCAGCTGGGAGCTGTGCGCCAGGCCCTCGGGCGGCTGCCGCTCCCTGCATGTCTGCAGGCAAACGCAAAGGCGCCGCGAGGGCCGACTGTGGAGTTTCAATACACTTTGCGAGGAGGCACTTCTCAGTGCAGAATCCGCACACGAGGCCTGACTGTACCTCCTCGCCATGCCCAGGGCTGCCGGCCTCACTCGGCAGGGGTCACAGCCCCACTTCAGGGTTTCCTTCCTCACACCCTCTGGTCACCAGGGCGGCCCTGGGCCAATGAGAAACGGCGCCTCTTCCTCTGGGGGGTGCAGAACGCACCGCCTGGTGAGGGGCGTGGGCTGGACCTCAGCTCTGGTTCACCCCCATCCAGGTGCCACTACACAGGGCGCAACCTGCTCCAAACACATGGCCAGCCCTGCAGAGCATATACCTTTGACCTTTCCTTTGCTTCTCAGCTGAAATGTGTCGGTCTTTCAAATTTCCCTCATTTGGAAGAGTGGGTCAGAAACAGGGACATGGGGCTCGGAGTCAGAATGTGAGAGGCTGGGAGCCGGAGGGCACTCTGTTCTACCTCCCGCACTTTCACACGTGGCTGCCCGCCGGGGTGGCGCTGACCTGAAGCTGGTAGGCCAGGTCGGCCTGCGCGCGGCGCGTGTTGACCTCGATGTCGTAGGCGGCCTTCTTCAGCTCGTAGTCCCTCTGGGCCTTGGCCATGTCGATCTCACTCAGGTACTGAGCAGACACTTTCTCCTGCTTGGCTTTGGCCTCCTGTCCATACACAGACCAGGTGGGGCGTCAGAGCCGGACGGGCAGGCCCCAGGGCGAGGGGCTGCTTCCCACCAGCTCCTCTGCCTCCGCCCCAGCCCTGGCCTCATCTATTTCCTCTCCAGCCCAGTTCCATCAGCCCCCGTCGTGCACTCCCCCCAAGTGCCCAAGTGCCATGGGGACCACAGACCACCCCCATCTCTCTCTCTCTCTCTCACCCGGATCCCAGCATCCCGCTTGGCCTCCGCTTCTCCAATCCGCGCATCCTTTTGGACTTGAGCGGTCCGAGCCTTCCCCAGGGAGTGCAAGTAGTCCTGTGGGGGAGACGGAAACTGGAGTCCTGAAGAGGGAGTAAGAGAGGAGCAGGGGCAGCGAGGGCCACCTGTGCAGGTTTACCTGGTCGTCATGAATGTCCTTCAGGGTGTAGCTGACCACACTGATGCCCATGTTCACCAGGTCTGAGGAGGCCACTTTGAAAACCTGCTCTGAGAACTTCTGCCGGTCCTTATAGATTTCCTAGGAGGAAGGAGGGCGGGCGGAGGAACTTAAGCTCTGGGTCCTCCGGCTCTGGCTCCCACAGCTGGCTCAGCAGGGCCCCCTGCGGACCCCTTTCTGGTGCGCCCTGCCGGCAGGCCCACCTCCACAGTCATGTGGGCCATGATGGCCCTCTGGTGGCCCTCCAGCGTCTCCAGGGCGATGTGGGCGATCTCAGCCTCCGTCTTCCCCAGGAACATCTGGCAGGCGGCCGCCAGCATCTCTTTGTTCTGCCCCTGGATTTTCACCTGCAGGCAGAGGGGGGGCGGGAGGGTGAGGTGCGGGTCCGGAGCAGAGCGGATGAGCCAAGGGCTTGGAGAAGACGCGGCTACAGAGGGGGTGGGGGCGTGGGCCCCGGGAAAGCTCCGAAAGCCGCACCTGGGCGATGCCGGTGACGGAGATGGGGACCCCATGGCGCGTGTAAACCTTCTCACTCTTGACATTGAGGGTCAATGTGTTGAGAGAGATAAAGCTCCGAACACCTGGGCGATGCCGGTGACGGAGATGGGGACCCCATGGCGCGTGTAAACCTTCTCACTCTTGACATTGAGGGTCAATGCAATGT